TGTAATTTCGTCCAAATTTGAATTTAAAATAACTGTAAAAAAAAAAATTTATTTATATACTTTTTAGAGTTTTTGGTTACAATATGAATTATTTATGAGAATCTTTGTACTAAATTTTCAACCCTTAGTTATAAAAACTGAACATTTTATAATTTTTTAATTACAATGATTGATAATTTTCGAGATTTTGATAAATTTTGTCAAAATTTAAACTTTAAATGCTTATAAAAAAAATCCTGCCTATGCATTTTCAATATTTTTCAACTGCTATTCTTTCAATATACAAGGAACCTTTTATTAAATTTTCAGACTTTTGGCCCAGAAAATAAAATATTATTGACAATTATGAAAAAAAAACAAAAAAAAATGAAAATTGAAAATGTATGTAATGTTGTAAAAGTTTGAACTTCAACGCTCATAAAAATGTAATTTGACTTTCTAATATACCTTTTTGATGTGAAAACATCTTATGTGGCGTTCAGACTTTTCCGTTTGGGCAGTGAATTTTTTCGAGCGTTATTCGAGCGTTACCCTTTTCGCGTAACGCTAGCGCTTCCGACGTGCTGATTGGCGGAGACTCGGTGCGACCGCGACGCGACGCAACGATAGGCCGTCTGTGCTCAGGGGGCGTGGCTTCATTACGATCACGGACATCGAACATAGTGCGGGCGAGAGCGTCAAATTAGTTCATCGTTGACAACCAACGTGAACAGTTAACTAAAAATCTATTGTATACATACAATATTACTATTTGATCACATGCGCAGGCGCCCAACTACGAACGCGTCGTACTCGTACATCGTCCGTTGTCGCGCGTTGGTAGTTCTCGAGGGCGTTTTTCGTTGATAAACACTATAAACAATAAACATGGTCCAGGGCTTGAAACCGTTATCAAAATTATCGGTTAACGCTAGGAAATTCAGCTATAACGTCGGTAAACGTTGAAACTTTGATAACAGAGAAATTCGAAATGTTTGTTGCTAAACAATAAAGTAAACATTTCAAACGCCATGATCCAGCGTTCTGTCTGTTCAATAGTTCAGTTCCAACAACCAATACCTACCGTGGTTGAATTTGCATAAACTTTTTTAATCAAAAGTACCTACCTATATTTATTGATGTGAAAATCGGTTTGCATGACAGTGTAAATTTTCGAGCGTTACCTTTTTCGTAGGTACGACCAAGCAAATTTTCTATGGAGTTAATATTTTCGGACTTGTAATTTATTTCCAAATTTTTCCTTCAAATTCTAAGCTCATATAATATATGTTTTCACATCTTATGAGGGTCGCTTGAGACACACGCGTTTTTTTTTTTTTTAATAAAGGTAAATAAACTTATTATAAGTCTTGTATTAAATTTTTAGATCTTAGGTTTAAAAATAAAAATTTTTATGAATTCCTAGCTCAAATAATTTGCAAATTGCTGTGATTTTTACGTATTTTAAATTTTGTTAAAAATCGAAATTCAAATGCTTATAAAAAGTTATTATTGATCTAAGCTTAACTTTTTTTTTTTAATTTCCACTAACAACAACTTATTTGAAACTATGTATTACATTTTAAAGTTTTTTTACCGAGGAAAAATTTTTTTATCGACATTAATCGAAAAAACTAATAATAATCGAAAATTTCATTTTACTGCCGAAAACGGTGATGACAGACACAAAAAAAAAACATTGTAAAATCAATAGTGATAAAATTCTGATCAAACACTGCATGCAATGAAATTGGCTAATTGGTTGGTGTAACATAAAGATATTTTTCACCCTTGTCTAATATTTAAAACCAGATTACCTGATGTTATATGGTTTAAAATATAAATGATTTATATTACGTAGTAGTATTATGTTTATATAATTATATTACAATGAAGTCAATTTTTTAGTCACAATACGGGGAATAGGTCAAAATTTTCTAAAAATGCATTAAAAACCTCAAAAATTCCACAAAAAATATTTGTGGTTACAACATAGGTACTTAAGTACTTAAGTACGACACACATCTGACATCTGTAGATAGGAAAACATCGCGTAAGACATTCCAAAAAAAATATGTAAATATTGTAAATACATTGAATCCAAGCGCTAATAATAACGAACATAAAAGTTTCAAGTCCCCTTAAAAAATATTTTTACCTATCATTAGTAAATGTTAAAATTTGTATGTACTTTAATAACAATGTGATTTCTTATAATTATATTAATTTATTTGTATCTATTATATACGTTATTATAAAAGCCTTTTTATATGTATATACAAATCCATGTCACAATACTATTATAATATTATTGTTTATATAGTTGATGATTTACAAAAAAAGTGGAAGAATGTCAAAGACTATTATAAAAAAGAAAAGAAAGAACTTCCTTCTGGATCAGCTGCTGCAAAGAAAAAAAATATGTTTATTTTGAAATGCTTGGGTTTTTGGATAAAACTATTGAACGTAGAAGGTAATATAGCGTATTGTAATATTATACAACTACAATATTTTAATATTAGGGCTAGAATTTATATGCATTGTTTTTTTAAATCAATTTATTTTTATAATTAAGAATGTAGACAATGTAGTGGATACGTATCTATAAATTGTAAGTAATGTAAAAAACATTTTTATTCGAGTTATTTTTCGAAGATATTTTTACTTAGAAATATTATATTGAATTTTAAAATAAAAGTAAGCACATATACAATATATACATGTTTAAAAAATAACTTCACTGTAGTCTGTAAGTGTAGTGTATTATTATAGTTTATACTATACACTATATCCACATTTTTTGATTCGTTATAAAGGCTCTAAATATAATATCTTTGTTAAGTGTATTTTACGGTTATTAGTTTATTTAACTGTATTTTATTTTTTTTTAACAGTACTATAAGCAACGTAATAGAAAAGGAAAGCATTATTGATAACCTTCAAGATGTTCAACATAATATTGATAATGAAATAATCGAATCTGATCCTTTGGAAAATGAGGTATTACCAAAGTCAACTACAAGTCAACCATCACGAAAACAAAAAATGACGGATTTTCAGAAAAGTGTGGTTGAAGTTTTAGCTAAAAGGAAAATAAGCAACGAAAACGAAGATTTGGATGAGGATAAATTATTTTTACTATCCCTTCTTCCAACATTAAAAAAAATGTCAAGTGATAAGAAATTTGATTTCAAAATTCAGATTATGCAAATGCTGAAAAACATTAATTTTCAAAACAATTTTAATCCTGCACCTTTAAATAATAATGCAACGAACCAGTTATACCCATACCCTGTTCAAACCAATGTAGCTAATAACTTCCAAAGTAGTTTCCTAAATCAGATGCCTATGCATCACCAAACATCTTACATTTCCAACACCGTCCCGAATATACATCAAAACATTCAAAACATAACTCCTGCAAGTTCTTCCAATCATGATCCTAACTGCTTATTTTCTCCTAGTCCACCAGATGCTTCAAATCAATCAACTAGTTATATTGATGTTGACTTTTGAGTACAACTATGATTAATGTTTACCTACCTTTTTTTTATTATATTAAAGTTTTAAATATTTATGTTGTTTGATAAAACACTAAAAAAGGAATTATAATTTTTTTTATTCGTATTTTAAAATAATAAATAATTAAACAAAATGTTGTTTTATATTATCTAATAAAATTGGCATGTGTTATTTTTTTGTGTGTACACCGTGATAAGTGGTCGGGATAATGCTTCAATTTTCAACTTAAATATTACAAGAGGTAAAAATTAAAAGCTATCAGTAGAATTTTCACGCAAATTCGATTTTGGTTTTTTTCTTAAAATGTCAATACAATTTGTTTTGGTGAATTGTAAAGATCGTAAATGTAATATAAGGCTTCTAATATATCATAACAATGGCACTTGAAAAATATTAAAAATATATAGTCATACATTTTTTTTTATAAGCATTTCAATTTCGAATTTCGACAAAATAAGTAAAAATCATGATAATACGTGATAATATGAAAATTATCTTGAATTAAAAATTCATAAAAAATTTTCATTTTAAATTTAAGATTAAAAATATAAACAAAATTCCTCAAAAATGTTTCCATTTTTATCAAAAAAGTCAAGTTAAATTTTTATGAGCGTTTGAACTTAACAATTGTCAATTTTACAACTTGATGTCCCAAATATAGCAATTTTCTTATTTTATTGTAATTCTTAAAAAGAATAACTACCTATAGATTCATGAAATTTACGATAAAAAAGATAAAAATATGTTCAAAATATTTTGACTGGTTTTGAGCTGTTTATACGGACATTACCAATTTTTTAGTTTCATTTTTGTCTATAAATAGGAATAAAATAGTATTCACTTGCCCACCTTTTTAAATAAAAAATATTATATTACCTTAATGTAACTGTCAGCCGTTCTTCAACGCCAATAGTTTCTCTGAAAGTGGAGTTCGTTTCGGATATACGTGGTCTCAATAAAATTACTAATTCGTCAAATGATTTAATAGACATACGATAATAATTAAAAAAACGATCCGGATATTGTCTCAAGTCAGAGTATAAACAGTGAACTCACCCAAAGTTATTCTCTGAGCATTGAGTGGGTGGACCCAATGAACACGGTGTCGCTCAACTGTGTCAGCAGCAAGCGCGACACATACTAACTCGACGTCATCTAAAAGTTCTAATAGTTCCATATTATATTATTTGAAAACGACGAACGGTTTATTCTGTATGACAAATGAAATCAAACTGAAGTATAAAAACCTACTGAGCTGTAGTTTCAAGTTTAAATTTTCCGGCTAATTCCGCTACGAAAAAAACGCAAGTGTGTCACCAGCCTATAAAGTGCGGAAATTCCACCGCGGAACGTCCGCTGCGGATATTCCGCAAGTGTGACACCAGCCTAAGTATAGTCGACATAGCCCTACTGTTGCAACCAACACTGATTTTATTCCTTATACAGTTATACGTCTTTTCCGTTGTTCTTAAGTAAAGTTTGATTCGAAAAACATTAAAATGGCAGATTTGAACGAAATTGACGATGGTCAATCTTCGATCACTGATGGCACTTGTAAAACCTATCGCCTACCTTGGTCAAAATATGACAACATTTTTAAAATAATTGATCTAAAAGAAGATTTTCAAACGTATCAAAAATTCAATGTTCGTTGTAAATATTGTGCTTCGTCCAAACTACTGACAGCAGACACAAGGACTAGTTCCAATTTATTAAAGCACTTAGAGGTAAATACCTACTAGCTACATACATTATTTAATTGTATTAAAAAATATATTTATAGGTATACATAATAAATTATGGTATGTAACTACGTAAGCTATGATTGAGGGATACTTTTTACTATTGGTACATAAATAAAAAAACCTAAGTAACATTTTTCGATAATTTGACATTTTTTTCCCAGACGCTAAAGCCTATTTCAACATAAAACCCCATATAGTAGGTATCTAATTTTAATATAATTAAAAAAGTATAAATTTAATATAGTTATGTATTATATAATATTATTATATTGTTATATATTATGTACCTTTATTATATTATAACTTATAAGCTATAAATTTAGATGGTACAGAAAAAAATTACAAGTATTTTAATTGGAAGAAGTATGTTAGCTAATATAGTAATATATTTTTGTTTAAATTAATTGGAAGAATTAATTGAATTATTAATAGTACCTATAAGTATATTTAAATACATATACATTAATAAACTATGATTTAATTGTAAAGGTTACTACTTACTATTTTGTTTTGTATTTTATTGGTTTAGATGCAACATAAAAATATTTGGACATCACAAAATGAAAAATTTGTTCAAACTAAACTCAAAAGAAAAACTGATGACTGCATCAATGAGAACTTCCATTCAAATCATAAATTGGAGATAAATGAAAAAAAACCAAGGTTACGACGATATTAGATTTTTCTAAAAGAAATTCTTCAGTTTCTCAAAGTAAGATTGGTCTTCTGCATTTTTGTAAAAAAATTAATTTTATAGTATAAAGTTAGATGTTTATTAATCATTATTAATTTTATATTAAACTTATATTTTATCATACTAATACATAAACTTAATCTTATATTTTAAATGTAATAGGCACTAGCCACTAGATAGCCTATATACGTGTATCAAGTTTTTTAATGAGTTGTGATTGATTAAATTGTCTGATCAAGATTTTAAAAAACTCATTTGAATATGATAACAACTACCTACCTACTCTAAATATTGACAATGACATTTATAATAGTTTTTCTTATTTATTCCTCAAAATTGGATTTATTGCTTTTTTCACTCAATATCAATTATCAATCATATTATTATTTTTAGATGAGTTAAATTTGATGATTCAAAATTTGATTATTAATGCTTCATTACCATTTAATTTGGTAGAACAGATTGATTTTAAAAATTTGATTACAACTGGATATCCTAATCGTCATGTGTTATCAAGGAAGACGTTAATGAAAAATATAGAAGCTCAACATCAAGTCCTTTTACAAGATATGAAGAGCATATTTTCCAAAGTTAATTATTTAACTACCACTGCTGATTGTTGGACTATTTTCAAAAGGTTTGTTATTTTAAACAAATTATTATCTAATTCATAGCATCTATAATTTAAATATTCTTTTTCAGATCCTATTTGGGTATGACTTGTCATTGGATTAATCCAGTATCACTAGAGAGAGAGTCTTGCTTATTGGCTATAAGAAGATTAAAGGGCAGCCATACTTATGATTTGCTAGCAAGAACTATGGAATCTATTTATACTGAATTTAATATCAATGATAAAGTTATCTATACAACAACTGACAACGGTTCTAATTTTGTCAAATGCTTTGAGTAATTATAATAGTTATTATTATTTATTTGTATTTTAGAAATTTTTAGTATTAAATAGGTAATTTGAACTGAAGGTTTAACATTTTTTTTTTTTCTAAATATATAATATATTTTATTCAGTAGGGAAGTGACTTACCTATATAATATGTTATACTAACAGAATTTCTATCAAAGTCCACAATGTTCATATCTAAAAAAATTTCATAATTATAAAATCAAGGTTTTAATAATTCATAAAGAATATTAATATGAACTCTTAGTATGCATTTTTTTTATGTTAATTTTTTTAAAATATTTACCATTTTACTATAGTTGTGACTAACTCAACTAACTAATTTATATTATATCAAGATTATTTTGTTCCCTTAGAATATATGGTCAATCGTCAGTTGTTGAAATTGTTCAAGATGGAAGTAAGAAAACAGATGTAGAAATTCTTCAAACTCTAGAAGATTCAATTGAAGAGGAATATGATGAAAACAAAGAAGACACTGACGATGATGCTAATACTGAAAAAGATGAAGATGTTAGTTTTTCTCGTATATCTATTACCCAAGTTCTGGATAACAGAGAACTAATTGGTGAATGTACATCCAATTGGGATGATTGTATGGTATATAACCTACCTAAGCATCACAGATGTGCTTCGCATACTCTAAATCTAATAGCAACAGCTGTAAGATACATTTAAATTTATTTATTTACTTTATCTTATTTTTTTCTCTAATGACATTTACAATTTTTAATTTTAGGATATTGAAAAAGCTTTATCGCCTAATGTTTCCAAAGACCATCTATGTTAAACTACAGAAAACAAAGTAGACTCACATTTTCAAAATGCCAAGCATTATGGAATAAGCAGAACCGTTCATCTCAAATAGCTGATATAATTAAAATTAATTTGGGCGTTTATTTAAAAACTCCTAATCAAACACGTTGGAACTGTTGGTTTGATTCATCAAAATTTCTTCTTTTGCATTTTAAAAACAGTCCTTCCAAGTTTACTAAAGTGTGTGATGCTATAAAATTAAATCGGTTTTCCAAAAATGATTTAGAATTTTTAGAATAGTATGTTGTAGTTATGGAACCATTGTGCATTTGCCTTGATGTGTTGCAAGGGGAAAAAAATATGTATTTTGGGTTTTTGTTGCCTTCTATTACAATACTCTTACAAAAATATGATGATATCGCTAAAAAAAATTTAGTTTATTGTGATTCTTTAGTTAGTTAGATAAAAGCAAACGTGGAAAAACGTTTCGAAAATTTTTTGACTGATCCGTTTTTATTACCTGCAACGGTTTCACATCCGTTTTTTAAAACCATCTGGCTAACCGACAATGATAAAAAAGATAAGGCATTATCATTTTTTAAAAAATCTTGTTTAGAAATGTTTGAACAATCAAATTTGCCTGAATCTGAGATATCTGATAGCAATATGAGTGATGATGCAAATAATTACTTTAACTGGTCTGAAAATAAATCAAAAGTGGATCTTTCATTAGAGCAAGAAATAACAAGGTATTTGTCAAAAAGTCCTACAAAAAATCTTAATACATTGAATGAAATGCCCACAGTTAAAAAAGTATTTTTAAAATTTAACACACCACTTCCTAGCAGTGCTGCTGTGGAACGCATATTTAGTATTGGTGGTGCTGTTTTATCTAAAAAAAGAGGTAGGATGAATGATAAAAATTTTGAAAATGTATTAATGTTAAAGTGTAATAAATCATTAATATAAAATAATATACAGTATTAACTTTTAAATATTATAAAATATATTTACCTATTATTATTATGATGTCAACGTTGTAATTTTTTTTATTATTATTATTATTATTAAGCCACTACAACTTGGCTATTGGTTTATAGTATTAGTTGACTATTTTATTACTTTTTATAATGATATTAACTATAATATTATTATGATTAACTATTAATTAACAGTATGTTTTTTTTTTTATTGTGTTTTATCAGAGCAATTCTTTTTTATTAATACTATTTACTATTATTATTGAATAAGCTTAAATTTGGCCATTGGCTTAAAGTAGTTGAACAGTTGTAATGTTGTGTAGTTAATAGTTATATTAGTATAATACTATAATGTTGATCATTATTTTTTTTTTCAGTTTATAAAATAATAAATATGTTGAAATAAACGGTTTAAAAGTATTATATTGTTTGACATTATTGTATTATAATTATTTAGGTACAATAGTTGGTGTTATGAGATCTTATATAGGTATACTCAGATAGGTGTGTATTATCGAGGTTATAATAATGTTCATTTATAAACACAGAATTGAAAGAATAATATTTTTGCTATTGAAATCTATATCTACTGAAGAAAAGTATTCGAATACATATTCTGAATACTTTTTTTTATAGTATTCGGAATATGTATTTGAAATACTTTTAAAAAGTATTTTACCCAAGTCTGCCTAAAATATAATTGCCCCTAACGGTATAAATGTGCCTTAGCTACTCTATCTAAAATTAATGACTAAGAAGAACCCTTTCTGAAGAATTGTTAATGTCAATATGTGCTGAGCATCATCTTATTTCTGATACTATTTATATCATAAAAGAAATATCTGAAAGTTCAGACTTGCTTGGTAAATTATTATACATTTGGTATTTATGTTCATCATACCTATGCTTTAAATATTCATTTATACATTCAGTAATATTGTAAACATAAACCTAATACAAAGTATATCATTATTATTGCGTATAATTATTTTGTATTTAAAAATTTATAAAATGTTCAACTTTTAAAGCTAAAGATTGAAAATTTAAAACAAGGGTCCACGTAAATAGGTAAATATATATATTACTTTATTCACAATAATATCATCAAATATACATAGTAATATTATTGGCTGACTGATCGTTTTCGCTCAGAATCGTTTTTATAATTGTAGTGCAGGTGAACATAAAAATATATAACAGTATAACTGAGATATATGAGTATTGCATTTAAGTAGCAGTTATATCTTTGTATTTTTGTTTAGTCATATATCTACTACCTACCTATGTCGCAATCGCTAAAATCGGGTTTATGGTATTTTTAAGGTAATTAAATATTATACTTGAATATATTTATGTAAAATAACAGACCATCAATTTACTTTTATTTTTTTACCATACAACTGTAGAACTTTGTAATTTTTCGAAAGTTTGTTGTAATTTGGTACTTATTTACGGGTTTAACGGATTTTTCAATATTTTATTAAAACAAAAGAAAAAAAAATGTTTGACTTGTTATTTGCCTTTTAAATTATGTAGCATCCCTTGCCCTTTTTTTACCAGTCTGCGCCTGCTATCTACTATGCACAGGCAGCAATCGGGGTAGGTAAAAATGTAAAAAGGATACTTTGGGCGGCAATCATGGGACGCCTATACCTATAATAGGGATAATATGATGTCAGCCATTTGTTTGTCTCTAGCTCGTCTCACAGGCCCCTTCTGGAGCGGAAGCTCGAGTCAAAACCTGCGAACAATATGACTTTCTTATTTTCAATTTTTCGATTACACCTATATATTCACCGTCATTTTATTCCATAATTATTGGTCTTTTGTCCGTGAGGATATTTAATAAATAAATAAAGATGATAATATTTTAGTATTATACAATGGTATAAACGTACGTTCCGTCCCCGAAAATTATTAAGATAGGACATTTTGCCATCCGGGAGTTATCAGACATTATTTACCTATTGTTTACTTATGGTATTTAAAAATTATATTGAAGGCAATGAATTCAAATTAAATAATAATACTGGTATTTTATATTTTTCATAAAGAATAAGTAATTTTAATGTAAATAATTTTAGTATGGTAATGATAGGAATCTATTGATATTTTAATTTAAAAAAATAGTGACTGAAATATCAAAACATGAAAAATTATGTAAAATATGTAATGTTATTGTACCTATAAATGTATTATATTTTTATTTAGTTTACGTATATAATTTAAAAATTAAAATTGACTGATGAAAATTATATTGTATTATAATCATATTGTAAGTAATATATTTTATAATATTTAAAGATGTTTTTATTAATTTATTAGTATAAATTATACCGACATATTTTTACGTTTTATAGAAATAATTGAAATTTTAAACAAAAAAATGAGATTATTGAGATTATTTCTACTGAAAACAAACATAAATGATATAGATAAAATATTTTGAATCTAGAACTATCCGTATGCATACGTCATAATATTATATAGGTACATGGATGAATGATGATACATACCGCATGTATTCAAGTGTGATCGAAAAGCATACTAGTTACCAAAGTGGTTACACGTATCATAATTTAGTGTGGTATCATAGCATACAGTGATAAGTGGAACCACAATACAAACATTTACCTATATAACATTTTAGTTTGTACTTTTTAATAATAACTATTAAAACCACTGACAAAATAGTATAGGTTTAATATTATACCTATGTCCTATATATTAATTCAATAATAACAACAAAATCATAGCACGCTACTCGATATTTTTCATCTACAAGGAATATCTTTGAACCATAAATGATATGTTCTTGTTAATAAATATATAACCATGACAACGAAAACGTCTATTTTGCAAAATCAGTTAAAACAAAATATAGATATGTACCTAGCACAAAAACATATTTATGTATTCAAATTTAATATTACACACTTGTTTATCCGCAGGTTAGTAATTAACCTACTATAAAAAATACTATACCATCTTGGATTCATTTACCTTCGGATAACGCGTCGGGGAATTCAGCTATAATAGCAGGCCCTGATTTACTTAAATGCAGGTGTTGCACTTGCACTTGGCCTCCAAATTCTGGGGAATTCTAGAATATTTTATAAAAAACACATTATTATCATTCTTTTTATAGCATTTTGATTATATGAAATAAACTATTGAATTAATAAGTTATTTTTCAATTGTTATGCAAGACTGCTAATTAATTAATCTTAATTACAATTAAATTCTAAAGTGTTTTTAACGTTTTAATATGCGTATAGTATAATTTTGTAATAGTATTTAATTACGTAGTATTATAATATCTTCATTACCCTCAATTTACAAGACCAAGTAACTGAATAATTGTACAATAATAGTACAATTGTAATAAAGTACAAATATTTTATGAGCTATGAGATAGGTTAAATACAAAATTTTCTGCAGATGTTTTTTGCTGAAAATCGGTTGACGAACGTCTTCCCCTAATTCAACTAAATCAAGCCCTGGCTGTGTGTAAGAAATATTATATCAAATATACCATTAATATAATATATTATAATCAGCAATCATACTTTTTGTGCTGAATTTGTTATGATTTTATATACTTATTATACTTAATATTAATAATTTGATCTACTGAATAGTTTTTTTTCTCCAAAAATCGTCGAAGAAATCAATGAACCGGTAATTCGTCGAAATACGCGATAAAATATTATATTATTATTATATATTAACCATCACGTATACCACAACTGTATATCATATTAAGTATGCCTATTAGTATAGACAATAGTCGATTTTAGTCATAGTGGTCTTTAATCATATTTTGTGTACTGAATTTGTTATGATTTTATATTTTTTTGTGATGTACCTACTGGATGTAGGTACTGTTTTTAAGATGCACTACCGATGGTAAACATTTTGGGGGCTTTGGAAAATTATTGATTCTGAATGCAGGCGGTGGATTGAATAAGTCTGAGAACCTGCGGTGATTACTGCATAGTTTTTTTTCCCGAAAATCGTTGAAGAAATCAATGAACCGGCAATGCATCGAAATACGCGATAAAATATATTATTATTACATGTTAACCATCACGTACACCACAGCTGTATATCATATTAGGTATGCCTATTAGTATATAGACAGAAGCATGTTTTAGCCATAGCAGAGCCAACGATCGTTAGGCCTTAACATCATAATATCGATGGTGGAAAGGCCAAGTAATGTAAGCCACAAAAATGAAATTTTACAGGAGAGACTAAAATCTTAATAGTTTTGTTAAAAATTATCCAATGAAGTTAAAATTTAATTGGTTTATTGTTGATTACGTATTTTAATAAATAATTATACAATTAAAAGTTAGAAATTATTTTTAAACTACTTACTGTGCTTCAAATTGAAGGAAGTTGAGGGTTACAGTATTTTACATGGATTGCTATTTTAAACGGTGGGTTACGTTACAAGCTTTTGGGGATACGAGGTTAGGTTAGGTTAGGTTCGTACATTATTTATACATCTGCTGCGGCGCATAGCCATATTGAGATGTGAATACTTAACTTGAATGACTAAAAAAGTAAAAACTAAACTTAAACCAACTAGTTTAAAGAAAAAGAATTATGATTTTTTTCTTTTTTCTTTACATAATTGTTGACAAATCAACTAATTGTGCAAACAAAGTAATAAATTCCATGATTGTGGAAAACGCTCCTAACATTCTGTCAATCAAAAAATTAATTGTTTTTGTAACTATGATTTCTCGATTTAATAAGAAATTTAATATTTCGTAGTACCACAGATTATATAAAACTATTATCATCAAATGTAGGGTATTATTGATTCCAATGTATTGTAAAACATGATAAGTAAAATAAAAATAGGGAACTAAAACAATAATGGCGCGGCGAGGGTTACATCAATTGACTGGGTTTGTTTGCAATTATTGTGGGATACGTTGCTGCTTACATCAATTGACTGAAGTTGTTTACAATTAT